GTGGATGTCTTTGTTTGAGGTGGTTGGAAATGTCTCTATTCGTTTTAGAAGGGCATTTTCGATCACCTCTGGGCATCCATAACATTCCTCTAAGCGCCGCCATATCATACTGACACCTGCTGTGGGGTTATGAACGTGCACTGACCTTTTCCGCTTTGCATGTGCTGCTGACTCCGGTCCAAGCCATTTGACAAGGAGGTTGAGCTCTTCGTGGTCAGACAGATACAGCTCCCTTGTAACTGCTTGGAATGATGATTTCCATGCCCAGTAATTTTCTGGACGATCATCAAAGGCAAGGAGCCCAGAACTCACCATCTCTTTTCTCACGAGATACTGAGCAAGATCAGGAGTATGAGGAGTTGGAGCTGAGTAGTTATTTGGAACGAATGCTGGAGAGACAGGAAGCGATGCATAGTGTAGGTCCTCAGTGGGTTTGTGCTCATCTGCACCCTTGTGTGGCCAATGTATGCCCTGCTGTCCGTTATTGTGAGAAGTGAGTTTCTGTGTTTCCACGTTTTGAAACTGTTGGTGAGTGTTTTGTAAAAATGAATGTTTATCAATATATTCTGTTGTGCGTCTTGCTGGATCCTCCTGAGCTAAATCCTGTAACTCACCAAGATGTCCTTCTTCCAAATCTGCTGCAGCTGCTTCAAATATGGCTGCCTCTTTAGATGCGGCCACAGCTTTACTTTCCAGCTTCAAAACATAAAGGTTTGCCTCCACCTCTGCTTTCTGCCTCATCATGGCTGCCTCCCTTTCTGCGAAGGATACCTTTATTTTTGCTGCTTCGGCTTTAGCTCTTGCCCTTGTCGCTGCAGCACTGGCAGATGACTTGCTTGACCTTGTTGATGACCTGTGACTTGAGGCCCGGGACCTGGTCTCCACAGACCGGAGTTCTTCTTCCTGGTCATTCATCTTACTGCTGTCTGATGAATGAGTCTTTAGGTTGAAGTAGTAGCGTGCTGATCACAGAATTATTTCGCTGCCTTTCCAGCTGAGTAGTGTCTTTTTCAGCGACGTGCAGTCAGGGGAGGCAGGGGAGGCAGAGCCTCACCTGTCATACTCATAGACTGGCCATACTACAATGTAACGGAAAAACAACTAAAGAAAAACTAAATAGTAATAATAATAAAATGTCTCCACTGATCTGTGTTGTAAATATGATTTATGTATGATTCCAATCGCTTCTTATAGTCAAAATCAGCAAATTTGCCGAGCTCCGCTACAACTAGGCTACATGGGAGCGATGAGAAGTGAGGCAGGGACGAGCTCTGCCTCTCGTAAACCCACAGTAACTTGCTGGAGCGCGGGCACTTATTTTGTGAGCGCGCTCAAGTGCTGTGCTCTTACTGTGTGGTAAGGTGAGGCACAGATGAGCTCTGCCTCACCTCAGAATGCGTCACCTCACAGAAACTGGCTGGAAAGCGGGCCCTAAGCGCATGCCTGCACCATCTCACTGTATGTCACCAATGTAATGTTTGTAGATCCCTTTATTACATTTATCCTCGCCATCCATAGTCTCTAAATAACTTATTTCACGTATATATGATATTTAGGCTCGCCGTACAACGGCAATCAAAAAAGCACCAGGGGAGGCAGCCATAACCTCTGCCGCACTGAAGGGGGCGCACGTGAGCCCACAGGTCCTTGTTGCTACTGTTATTCTACGGCGCAGAGACGGTATAGACGCGAACAACAAACTAGACTTTTGAAACTCGAGGAAGATAAGGAGGACTTTTACAAAAAAGTAATAGAGATTGTTGTCCAGAAGGATAGCATGGACTTCATCTTCAAGTCAAGGTAAGACCACATTGGTAATGACAATTGGTTCTTAATAAGAAAGAACAATCCAATATTTAGATTGTGGGTATCCTTTTGTTGAACGGTCTGTTTAAAATGAATCGAAACATCAGACCAAAAAAGCTTTTGAAAATAACAGAATATTTCGATTAAGGTCAGAATATAATATTTGTAAATCTGACTCTGAAAGAGTCAGTGGCTGCTTCTCAGGTCGACTATTTTCATTTCCTCGCTCCTCGGTCTCGGTCTCACCGGAAGTTGATTTGCCTGCGCCATCTTGAGTACCGTCCCATGGCTCTTATTTCTGCCGGAGGACCGAGGATCGAGGAGCGAGGAGCGATCATGGAGGAGCGATAACCGAGGAACCACCAGACCATCCTCAGATGAAATCCTCAGATACTCACCCCGCCCCCTTACTGTGTATCGCTCACTGATTGGACGAGGCAGTGCATGCACTGATCTGATGCTTCTTGACATGAGAGCAATACCCCAGCGGAGTAAAGAAAATACATGAACCTCACGGGACTCACTCCTCAGTTTATACCGTGTTTTGTTTCAATTAATGTATCATTTAGTTACAAATATGTGATCTGAACAAAAGTGGTCAAAAATCATTATTGGAAACATTTTCATGATCGCTTTTTTCGTTTTACAGTTTCATTTATTGTCATTTCCATTCAATCACAGCTGAGGCCAGGGCCGTATCTACCATTGAGGTCACCGAGGTCCGGACCTCGGTTATATTTTCCGAACTGTGTATATAACAAAACTTGTGAAATAACGGCACTAAACGGGGTTCTTTGTAGTACTTCCATTTACTGACGAAGGGGGCGCTGTTGCGTAACTACGCAGCCCCGATCAAAGCAAACAGAAGAAGACCACATGTATCAACAAACCACAGCAGCCCGGGCGAGCTGCTTGTGTTTCTGTTCATCAGGACATCATATGAACAGCAGATCCTGTGTGAACGCTCTACGTTAGTCAGTGGACGTCTGACAACATGCACACTAACTTATATTGCAGCTATAGGCTATACTTTGGTTTAAATTGCGTGAATAAATTAGCTAGAGAGCTAAAGTTAATTACATTCATCCAATGTCAGAAGGATTACCTTTTAACAAACGTTGTAATTTTTTTCTTTCATTTCAATTTGAGTAAAACATTGAAGATATAACATTGTATTGTGTTCTTTTGACACTGACTCAGATATAATGAAGAGACTACGTCAGTCGAAGATCAGCGTTGGTAAGGAAGAGACAGGACAGGCAGAGAGAAAGAGAGAGAGAGAAAGTGATGGAAGTCAGGGAGGAACTGCAGGTACAGTCACACACAAGAATGTAGGCTTATTTACCCCATCTATCCATCTATCTATCTATCTATATTATCGATAACAATAGTTTTCATTTATAGACAATAGGCATCATTTTAAAACATATATCTATTGCAGTTATGATCTCATAATAACATACAATTGTATGCAACACAATTTGCTTACATCTTTGTTCTCTTTTGAGAATCAAACAAAACAGATTTAAATTTAAAAAATAATGCAAACAAACAAGTGAAATGAACTAAATTGCTGAATTGCTTTTAATTCACTGGCAGGAGCGACAAGTGAGGAGGAGCAAACATTTAACAACGAGGGAGAGATTGAAGAAAGAGAAAGAGTGGAGGACAGAGAGAGTAATGGAAGAGAGGGTGCAGGTTGTGGAAAGGAGAGAGACATGGACATGGAGACTGAGGGAAATAGCACAGGAGACACAAGGGGACAAGAGAGACCAAATACCAGTACTAGTATGGTAGACCAGGCCGGAAGAGAGGTGGCAAGAATAGATGAGAGAGAGATGAGGAGTGAGAGAGCTGATAACGGTCAAAGAGAGACAATTCTACATGAATTTGATCCAGCCAAGTATAAAAATAAAGCACTAACTGATGAAGAAAAGTACTGCCTTCTCAAAAATAAGTGGTTCAAACATGAACATAATTACCCCAAAACAAAGTTCGGTGAAAAGCAATTACGCTATAACATGAAGTGGGAGGAGAAATATCCTTGGCTAAGATATTCTGTTTCAGAAGATTCCACCTATTGTTATGTCCATCTATGTTCCATCAAAAAAGCGAGTTACCAATAGGCAGCAAAACAGAGCGAACACACCCTCACAGTCAATCGAAGAACACTACAGACTCAATCTGTTCTATCCTTTTATTGACCATGTGACAAGCCAACTGAACACCAGGTTTGTGGAAAACTCTGAGCCAGCCATGCTTGCTACATACCTGATTCCTTCAGCTTTGTCCAGACTCACAAAAGACAAGCAAGAAATGATGGTGTCATGGTACAGAGAAGACCTACCTCAGCCAGACTCCATTGACCAGGAGATTCACAGATGGAAGGTAAAGAACCAACCTCCAACACTCCTGGTATTGACGGCAAAAGACACATTGAATATTATAAATGTTCAATACTACCCCAACATCCACTGTATCCTCTCCATCTACCTCACACTTCCAGTGACCACCTGTTCATGTGAGAGGTCATTCTCTGCCTTGAGGCGGCTGAAGACCTGGCTGCGATCCAGCATTGGTAATGACAGGCTATCAGGACTTGCAATGATGCATGTGCATAGGAACAGAGCACTGGATCCTGAAAAAGTCCTCAAACGCTGGGATGCCTCTGGACACAGGCGTATAGTTTTGGCATTTGATAGAAAATGAGATGACATGATAATGGTTAAAAATGTGGCACTTCAAGAAGACTTAATTAGACCCAAAACATTGTCCTCTCTTCAAATGATGCCACTGCCCTCACCATGAGAAAATGAACGAGCAAAACACAAAAACATACAATATTGATGTAAATAGTTTCTTAAATAATTTTGTTTGCTTGAACAATTGAATTAAACATTGGAAAATGAATGTTGACAATGTTTTGTGATCATGTTAGCCTCTTCTGCATGTCCAGATCATTAATAGTAACAATCAACTGATTCTTATGCATTACACTTTCAAAAATAATTTATATTGCAGCCCACTGACTTGGTTTGAAATCAATATATTATCCAATTTTGGACCCCCCACAGGACTTAAAAAGCACCTAACTAGATCAGGAAAATCCCAAAAATCTCGGGGGGAAATAACCCCCCCGAACCCCCCTAGAAGGTTTGGACCTCGGTATTTAGGAAATCCTGGATATGGCCCTGGCTGAGGCATGAATCCTTGATTTCACTCGGTTTAAAAGCCCTGCCTCCAGCATGCAGCTGGCACATTTGAAAGACATGGCGGCAGAAAAACTACACAAGTGTAAGTACCTATTACTTCATGTTATTTGTATGCCTACAACGATACCGTTACGATAATGCAACATCTGTTCACATGTATTTAACCCACAACTCATATATTTCTGTTATTGAACGCTTTATATTTTCTCAACAATGTTCATGTGAAATGCCCAACTAAAGGCAAGATTTGCAATAGGCTACATAACGTGCGTATACACACGCAGCATTCGTTATTTATCGGACATATTTCGGTTGGAAACCACTTGTTTCTTCATTTAACTAGGCTACCTGCCACATACAGACGTAACTAAGGTACCATCATTCATTTGGCTGGCAGTCACAATGTATTTGTAATAAATAATTCAATACATTCAAATCGGCTCAATTCAATAATTAAGCTGTCATTTATATGCAGCATTATGTGAGTGAAATGTTAATGGCTTAAGGTTTCCTTTTGCTGATGTATGTATAACATAATTCTCCTTAAACAGGGACGGAGGCCCAAACCAGAGCCCTCATTCAACAGAGGACTGACAATGAGCACCTGTTTACAGGAAAGAGGTTCACAGCCAAGAAGGCCTGGGGGTGAGCTACAGTTCTAAATGAGTTGTTTGACAATGTTGTTTTGGTGCATGGTATGATAATCAATGTAACCACTACTGTGAATGAACCACAGTGAACCTGAGTGTGTCATGGAATTATTATGCATGAAGCATATTGTCAGAAGTAATCAGACTTTGCATGCCTGGATGCTATAATTTAAGAAATGGTTTACTCCACAGAGAGGTTCTGCAGAAGATGGAGTTGGAGGAGTTGCTCACTCCCACCCAACTGGCCAACAGTGGGACAACCTGAAAAGAAAATATAAGGTGAGATATTGTATTTCTAGATGCATACAATGCAGCTATTTCTATTGTGTCTTCATCTGACTCATACATTCCTTGTTCTCCCTCAGGAGCTGAAAACCCCCCCTACAGGGACGGGGACAGATGCGGGGGAGGCCACGGCAGCCACATGGTCGTGGTTTTCCCTGATGCATGAAGCCATTGGGAGTCGGCCCTCCATGGAGCCTCCAGTCCTGATGGACTCGGCTGACGTGGCCCCAGTGGGATTGGCTCTTCATCCAGTGGAGCTGGGGCTGCTCCTTGTGGCCAGGCAATGGAGGAAGAGGAGGATCCTGGGCAGCCTGGCACAAGTAGCAGCACCACTACACTGGATGAAGAGCCATCCACCTCTCTCAGTCCCCCGCCTGCCAAGAAGAAGAGGGCAAGTAGGGGGGCCCTATTAGAGTTTCTGAAAGAGGAGGCCCAACGAGAGCAGGAACGCTTTGAGGCCAATCAGGCTAACACAAAAAGATTTTTGGATTTATTTGAGAAATTGGTAAATAAATGATTTTGTTTCTAAGTTTTTGCAACGTTGTTATTGTTCCATTGAGATACACTTTGTTTGTCAAAACATTGTTCCTTTATTTGTTAAATTATAAACATCACAACGCAATAAACCGCAAATGAAGGCACACAGCTTTTCACACAGTGTGGTGTCCAAGGCCTTCGTGTCCCCAAGTCCTACAAATAATCATGTTCTTGTAGTTCAACTGGTTGCACACATGGAGCAGAGAGCAGCCCTGCCAGTCGGTCTCGCTGGCCATGTCCGCCTCGATCCCCCCTCACCAGACATGGTGGAACCACACCAATGTCCCCAACATCCTCTTCAGGCTCCAGGATGTCCCCCGCTGTGAGGCAGATGTTATGGAGCACTGCACAGGCGGTGATGACTGAGGAGACAAAGGTGTGGTGGACCTCCAGAGCCTTGAAGAACAGCGATCTCCACCTGCTTTTTATCCTGCCAAAGGTCCGCTCTATGATGGAGCGAGCCCTGGCATGATGCTGGTTGAAGCGGCTCTGCACCCTCCCTTGCAGTGGTTCTCTATATGGGGTGATGAGGGCCACAGGTCCTTCTATGCAGGGGTAGCCACCATCACCCAAAAGGAAGAATCCTAAAAAGAGAGAGAACATATTTAGTATACTAAAAGTCATTGATGGATTTTGATGTATTAACAAGAATATTTGGTGTCACCTGAGGGAGGATACAGAGCCTGTTTGTAAATTGCGCTGTTCTTCAGGACTCTGGTGTCATGGACTGAGCCAGGATACCCAACAAAGGTGTTGAGAAAGAAGCCCTTCCCATCACACACTGCCTGCAATTGTATGGATGGGAAGAGCTTTCTGTTGAGGTAATCCTGGCCCAGAGGTCCTGGGGGGGTCTTTATGCGGACATGGCAGCCATCAATGGCCCCCACACACCTGGAGAATACTGGGCTGTTGGCCAGCCTTGCAAACTCTTGGCCAACCTCCTCCAGTTCTCCAGGGGGGGGCAGTTTGATGACCTCCTGGCGAAGGGCTGCAATTTTTTGTACTCCAGTGTGCACCAGTCTGCAGACGGTCGACTTGGGGACATCAAAGGCTCGGGACCAGTGGTGTAGTGGGGATTTTTTTACTGGGGGGACGCTATTTTAATTAGGTCATCCCAAACAATGTCACACAAGTGTGTGCACTCACAAAACGGGCAGACAGGTCCACAGAAACTACCGGTATGCTTAGGCACATAAGTTACATAAACAATTTATAGGCCTAAATTGCATAAGCTACAGTATTGCGACTAAGCAGACAG